GAAAAGCAGAGTCTGTTGTACAATTCCAACTACACTCTTCAAAAAAAGAAACGCATAGGCCCATGATACGGAAATGTATTAAACGTATTTAAGTTACATAAGTCGATTAAGCTTAAGGTTGAAGGAAATTCGATACACGGATGAACATATGTTTTGTTGTTATTATCAGTATTATTTGACCGCCTCCGTGGTGTAGTGGTTAGAACGTCCGGCCGGAGAGCGGAAGGTCGCGGGTTCGATCCCCGGCCGCGGCATACCAAAATACGTTAAAATATGGTACTTGTTGGTCCCTGCCTGGCGCTCGGCATTTATGGGTACAACAAGGACTGGTCGGCCCGGAGTCAGTATAATGTGTCTGAGTGGGATATTCATGCTTCACTGCGACATGGTATCCTAGTGGGCTAGCACTATAAAACCAGCTTAAGCCTGGGCTAGTACAAGCAGCCGCACATACACATACACACGCATGCACGTCGTCATACGAGCGAAATATTCTCAAGCACGACGTCCAATTTCACCTCACCTATCGGTATTATGTCAGGTCACTCACTGTACATGTGTGGACATGGGTGTGTGTGTGTGTGTGTGTGTGTGTTATTATTCAGGTCATTACCTGGTGACACAACCCCTTGCAGCCGTCACTGCTCGACACCGCCTGCGAAAGTCCTCGGATTTTTTCTTGGGGAATTATTTGCCATTCTTCCTGCAATGGGTTAGCAAGTTCTACAAGTGTCTACATGGTGACGTTTACGTGCGCGTCTATCAAAGTCGTCCCATGGATGCTCGATTGGGTTCAGATCAGGCCATTTGGAAGGCCAGGGAGAGACCTTGACGTTTACATTGGCGAAATAGGCACCTGTTACACGAGCGTTGTCGTGTTGTCATGTTGAAACAGCTCCCTTTGACGGTTAAGAAGTTGGAGGGGGTAAGGTCGAAGGATTTTGTCGATGTAGCGATTTGCTGTAAGATTGCCTTGAAAATCACCACTATAGTTTGGCATGAAATGCATGGGGACCCGTTTTTTTTGTAAATATCTCTTCATCCAATGACCCAATCGATCTCAAACTGTGCAAGTGGATGTTTTGTCAGAAAACCTAATCACATTGTAAATCACCGATTTTATGCATTTGTATTAAAGAATCTGTCTATGTAATTGTCCACAAAATATACAGCAGACCGCAGACAGCTTGCAGAGGGAGGGAGCCAATGACCTGTAACAGCGGCAGTGTTGGGTCATAAAGGTCAACTGCCGGTTTGAGCAAGCGGTTTTACAAGCTGATCACACATTTGCAGTTTAATCTTGATGCATGTACATGTAGTATAAGTGTTATCATAATTATGTCTCATATGTGGGACCGAAGGAAGATATACTACGACATCGCTGAAATCGCTTAGCTTAATATATTTATAAAGCGATGTGGTGCCCAGTCCTGACAGATAAATCTATCTAAACTCTGGCGTTTCTGGACTTACATGGAATCACATTTCCTGACCATTCTTATGATGATACCAAGTAAAATCTGGCTCGTCAAAAGTGCGTGAAAACTTAAACGTTATGACATATTGATGGGTAGAATGTTCAACTTGCTCATTGTTCTCTCACAGGGGATATTTATTGCATAGTTTCACATTTAAAGGATCTTTTTAACACAAACAATTCTCACTTAATTACAGGGTTTTTAAAAGATCACTATCAATCTTTATTTCGTACTGAAGAGGCCACAGGCCTATAGTACATATACATATATAATGGGGAATTACATAAATAAATATATTTACATTACAGTGATAAAACGTAATGCATTGCTATGTGAATGAACATGGTAAGGTTTTGTAATATATTTTTATTTTACTTCTTATAAGAGTAGAGAATGATGCTTGGATGGATATAGTAATATGTAAAAACATTCACTTGACAAAATTATTTTCGCACACCATGTTTGAAGATGTATGTCTTTAAGTCTTATGGTTAACGTCTGCATGAATGACGTATGTGATTCTACATATTGTGCATTCCAAGCGTTTCCGAAGCCAATAGAGAATAACAAGTTCTTAACATGAGATGTCCAATTTCTTTGTCCATTTTTATCATACAATAACATCATATTATAACATTTTTACGGTAACCGATATGGAGGCATATTTAACAGTTTTAACCAATATTTGACAACTTTTATGCTTGTAAACAAGTGCATTGGATATCTGCCCCATTCACCGTAAACCACTGCATTAACTGTATTCAATTTAACACAAGATATTTCTTGCATGCATACAAGTGTATTCTTTCTATTTGATGAAAGTCTACTAATCCCAAGATTTCTGCTTCATACGTCAAAATTGGGTTTATTTTTGCATCAAAAATCTTAAAAAAGGTTTTGTAAGTAAAGTCTCCAAGTGTGCTTATGGTCTTCATTATACATAAGTGAGTGCCCTTTGCGCTTGGAGCGAAGCATATTTGAAATGCATGCACCAAGACAAACCATTGGCAAACTACAATCCCAAATATGTATAATAGCTTACACAGTTAAATACAGGGTTTTAAAATATATCGGATTGTTCAGTAGTTTTTGAATGGTTGTGTTTTAACTGAGGTTGATGTAATCAAAATCTATTATTATATTGCTATTTAAAGGGGTTGAAGTATCGTTAAAATATTGTACCCAGATGATAGCATAATAGTATTATAGTACATTGCAGACAACCGGAATTGTATTGCTTCTATTGTATTGTATTGATTTATGGCTAGCATTGTTTACAACTACCAGTGGCTGAAGGGATGGTTTAAATCCTGCTGGGGTTTCATGCAGAAGCTGAAGTACTGTAAGTCTCCATGAACTCCAGTAAGGTGGCCTAGCTTTGGTTGTTGGTGGTCCATAGCCCGTGTTTTCATGTTAATATATGTCATAACAAGTTGCATTTTTAGAATTGAAAATAATTAGTTTTTAGAATTGAATTCTGTGATACGTTGCTAATGATTTACTGTCCTTCGTGACAGCTATTTATCCTATATACTAACTTTGTTCTCGTCACTATATGGCTGAAATATTAACTTACTCACTCACTCAACTTGCTCATTGAGTACAATGTCGTAAAACTGCTATGTATGCCGATGATTAAGGTATGTAACTGCGTATTGTATGTTTAACTAAATTCACAAATTAACTGTCTCGATACACATAAGCTTTGAGTTAACAGATGTTTAACAAAACACATACTGTGTCACTCGATAATCTAAAACCTAGGAAGATATCACCGTGTGCTAATGTATTCATAATACGGAAGTACTATTCAAAATACTTTCTAGAGCACATCAGAGAAATCTCGTTTATTTATTTTAAAAACCATGTACGAGGAAAGTTAGCTACAATCCAGGATGTAATTTAAACTTTTAAAAATACCAGTTAACACAAACTTCCAATCGGCAGTGTGGAGGACATGCGGTTGTATCTCCACAATTTTCTTCCTGGTTGTTCATACTATATAATATAGATTTTCATGATTATCATACATTTACAGACAGTTTATGATGTCTGCAAAATCCGATTCACCAAAATTATGTTACATATGTGGGATAGATACCGTTGTTTTCTATGGAATATTACTACGACATCATTTATCACTCATCTGAGTGTATTTACAAGTGTCCCACAATTGAATTACTATATGCTGTGAGAGCGACTGTGTCATGGTGATCCGAGTCTATTTTATGTTGCAATGTTGATTTGATAGGAAGAGGTATTTGTGGATACCTGTTTGTTTATTGTACTTGATGTATGTCTAAACCTGTCTCGTAATACACATGATCATATCAATATACATTTAATAAATCCGTGCTTTGAACATATGGAATACAGCAGTGTGTCCAAAACTGATGACAAGGGACTCTTTATTGTTATAAGATTCACTGTAGTCGAAAAATCACTGATCCGTTTACAGTGTGAGCACTGCTCCAGAACATCAACATAGCAGCCTCTAAGTCATCGGTGAAACAGAAAGAAAACCCAAGAAATGGCTGGGTAAGCATGACTTGATGAGCCCAGATTTTTTATTATCCCAAGCGTACGTTCAGCAACCCTATGTTGCCAATTAGTAATTGTTTTATGAGATTTACACTTGCCAAAGTCGTCCATTGTGACTATATATGCAAGCATGTCGCCATGTGAAATTAGCATGAAGAGCAGAATCAACGCTAGTGCGCGTTTTCTTGCAGATTCAATCCGTGAGGGAACAAACCTAAGACACAATGGCGTGGCTTTGGACAACGGTGTTGTTTTTCTGCATCACAGGGACACACACTGGTAGGATGTTTTGGGGTTTTGGTCTGCTACCATTAGTATCAACTATAGGGGTGGGTATTGCAGAGAATTTCATATTGCGATATATTGCGATGCGGAAGCATCTATTGCGATATGTATTGCAATATATTGCAAGGATTATTTTTTTAACAAAACTACTTATAATCAAGTTAATGCTTGATTATAAAGCAAAAACACAACAAAATCACAATGATTGATTACCCTTTCATAAAAACTTTTAATCATGACAAAATAAAAATGTAAGTGACATTTGGCACTAATGAAACAGGGAAAAGAACAATTCAAAAAACGGAAATATCCGAAGTTTTCCGAATGCATGACAAAATACCGGTTTTCGATCAGCGTATCGCAATACATATCGTTTTCATGTCTGAACCGGTAAATACTGGTAAACCGGTTATATTGCGCAGCCCTAATCAACTATGCACCTGGTACTATGGTTCAAGTTGTACATGTGGCATCCTGGATGTAACAGTTCTGTCTGACACCTTATATCGTGTATGATTAGTTAGGACTAAACACATGTATTAAGGGGAATTGACTAATATGTCAGCAGCGGACAGGTGAATCATTTCGAGTTTTTGAGAAAACGTTTGATATATTCTTGGTCTTTCATCTGTATTAGAAGATGTACCCGCATTGTCAAGAGCAGGACATCAATTCCTTTGTTTATTATCGCTTCAGATGCCGAGTGTCACTGTGACACCACTACTGCCTGTGCCGTGTTCCCCTCTACTCCCTGTAACCAGGTCGGTGATCCAGACAGATGTCAGGAAGGATGGTTCGGTACCTATTGCCAAAGACGTGAGTGTAGTGTAGACAGGTAGTCTATGTAGCATGAATTCAAGTCAACGATATTTGCGATATCTTGATATATTGCTAATCTTGCTCCCAATCTCATGATTTATTCAACACTTTGCAGAAGGCAACTGAAGGAATGACGAGAATGTTTTAAACACTGGTTGAAAACCTGAATTTAGATTGAGTATCATGTTTTAATGGTTTCCAAGATAATGGGAGACATACATGCATTGTATGGACTGGAGTATGTAACGCCCCGTATTATAATCGGTTGTTGCAAAGAAAAATATCACGTCATATCATATTCAGTGGTGCTTGTATTCTATTTTGAAATGCCATTTGATATCTGTAACCCTTATTCCACGTTTGTTAATTATTGGGGATTTCTAAAGCCCAACGTTGATAAGTCAAATACATACTGCGAAATAATGTACACTTCTATGCATTAACTGTTTTCGCACAATGAACCTACTGCCATTATTTCCACTATTGTCGTATGTGTATTATGTTTTACATGGTTTCTCTTTCTTCAGGAAATGTTGCTTTGGGAAGAACTGCCACACAGAGCAGTACATACAGTGTACCCACTGACGGGACAGGGAATATAACACACCTTTTCGAGGCCAGGTACGCCGTGGATGGCAGAGCTACCACCGACTTCCATAGTAAACCACTGACATGTACACATACCAACAGTGGAGACCAAACATGGACTGTGTACCTGAACAACTCAAACACAGACAAGATACAACACATCAAGCTGTATCTACGTCAGGACTGTGAGTATGGGTCTCACTATATAACACCGTTTTGTTTTTACTAAGGACACTGTCATGTTTGATATAATATGAATTGTTGGCGTATGTTTCGTGTGAGTGTGATAATGTTAGCGGTACATGGGCAATATTTTAGCATTATCGTGACGAGAAACACTTACATATCAATGCTGAAACAACTGAGATTTAAAACCTATATCAGAGATATTACGTTAAAACTCGCATCTTATCATAAAAGGATAGCATTAAAAAGAACAATTCAATGTAAAAATGGGCTGTTGATCACCAACAGCACATGGCGCAAATTGATCTGGAGCTCAGGTGTAATATTTGATGTTTGACAGAACGCGTATTTTCCCCTTTGAAATGCAGACCAAGACCGAAACAATGGTATGAAGATATATGTTGGTGGACAGTTGTGCTTCCAGTGGTCAAGGAATACCCATCCGGCAGCTGTAGCTGATGTCAAATGTCAACAAGCACTGGCAGGAAACAACCTCACCATACAGACAAACAGTTTTCTCACGTTGTGCGAGGTACAGATATTTGGTAGGTTAACGTACACCAATGAACGTGTGAGCAACAGATTGTGATTTTAGCTTTGATTTGAACAATAGATTCACTACTATCAGAATATATATGATGTAGATATATGTGCCATTTAATGCACAATGGCTGTTGTATAGTGCCAATACGAAACTGTGTTCTTTTAACCAATATTGATAATCACTAATCATGAAATATAATTTCATGTCATTCTGAGGCTGTCAGTTATATACTAAGCAGCAAAAAACCCCGTCTGTACGTATTCAAAATTAGATAGACACTGTAATCAAATCATTACATAAATGAAGATAATAAGCGGATCAAAAACATTTTTTGTGTACAATATCCTGACACATCAATGAATAACTCAGCTCAATTCCAAGACATTACGTGAACGTTTGCAGTCCATTCAGAATCTTGACTTCAGTATCTAGTGTGACGACCACGAGCGGCAATAACTGCAGCACAGCGTCTATGCATGGAGTGCACCAATCGATTGATAAGGCCATTGGCTCCTGGAACCACACTCTGAAAAGGCCTGGCGCAATAAATCGGCTGTGTTCGATATGGTATGACATTATTCAGTCTCTTCTGAATTTCATCCCAAAGATCAGGACTAATGTTGACACCGTTCTGCTGTAGGAAGTCCCGTGTAGCTCTGGCAGTATGGGCCCGGGCGTTATCATGCTGGAAAATGTTGTTCCGGTGACGTGCGAAATGTGGTATGACGTGGGGTCTGAGAACTTGGTCGATGTAGCGTACCGCTGTGATGCCGCCTCCTCTTCCTGGACCAAGGTTCTGGAACACCACGGGACCCATATTCTTCTTCTGCCATCTGCAGTTGATACGCAGTACCGACTCTCATCTGTGAAAAGAACAGCTCCCCATTGCCTGTATCGCCAGTTTTGGTATTGTAGGGCCAACTGTAGACGATCACGCCGATGACGAGGGGTGAGGATAGGTCCACGGTAAGGTCTACGGCAATGGCGGTTCCCGATGTTAAGACGTCGGCGTACTGTATCAGTACTGATTGGTCTCCCGTGTCTTCCCACTGTCTGGCGTGCTGTTTCGGATGCCTGCATGAAGGGATTCTGTACATGCTGTCGCACAACATGACGGTCGTGTCGTCTTGTGGTCAGCCTTGGTCTGCCAGTACGGGGGCGATCATTTGTGGTGTTGGTGGCTTGGAAACGTTGCTGCAGCCTGTAGTGATTGACAACGGCTTGTGCAGTGTGGCCAGCTTCAAGACTTCCTAGCGCCTGGTTCGTCTGAGCTGACGTGAGTCGCGGCATCCTGCTGACGTTGCAATGTGAATGCTTCAACAAGGTTTGGGGATGCATTTTATAGGGCTGGTCCTTGTGAACAGCACGTGCAGCATGAGTTGCATGAAAAACATAGAGAACACCGTACCATCTCCGAGATCAGGTTGCGTTTTTGAGACCATTTCCTGGGTTCCATTCTGAGTTTGGGAAGGAATGTCTTTGTCAAAAATATACAACCAAAACATGAATGAATGAATGAGTTTACAGTTATCATTTTCTGTGAAGGAAAATTCCAAACTGACGTTCTTTTGCTGCTTAGTAAAATTCATGTTTGTTCTATATGCATATTTTTGTTAAGTTTTCAGTTTGCAGTGACGGCTGGTTTGGCGAGGAATGTGACAAACAGTGTCACTGTTCACTAAACACAGAAGTATGTGACAAGATCACTGGACAGTGTATGAGTGGATGTGCTCCAGGATACATAGGGACGGACTGCCAAACAGGTACAGGTCCTGAGTCAATGAAACACAATCAAACGCAAACTTTCTATATATGAAGTTGGATGAGTGTTAAGCATAATGTCTTCCTTGTTTTCATTGACATGTACCATTCCAATATATATCGTGGAGCGTAGTATTAAACATTGGCATTACTTTCTGGGGAAGAACCTTCTATTTGAAAATGTCTATATTTAATTGCATCAGATTAATTTAAAAATATCAGTCAAGTTGTTCTACATCACCTACAGCGTGTTCAGACGGTTACTATGGAGACTGCACCTCCAAGTGTGGAAACTGCCTCAATGCTGACTATTGTGACAAGACAACAGGCATCTGTCCTGGTGGTTGTGCAACAGGGTGGCGAACTGACACCTGTCTTCAACGTGAGTACATCTTGCTTGCTCACAGTGCAGTTGCATGGTTTATACCCAGAATTATATCACAAGTATGAGAAAGCCCCCTTCATACCGACAAAAAAATCATTTCTATAAACAGAGTCTGTTGTACAATGTCGGCTATATACTGCGATTATGAATCAGTGATAATGTATCCTGCACAATCGCTAATACCCGTCACAACACTGCAAACGCAATTTCCGTATGTCGTACAATTGAAATACTGAACAGCATCGACATTATTTTTGGCATTGATCAACGTTGGAAATGTCTTCCATGTGTGTCTCTATCATAAAGCGTTTTAAACGACGCCTCGAACGACGTTGTATCCTGTATGAAATATCTTTTGAGCAAGACTGATAAATCATAAAATTGTAATAAAGTCATATTAACTCCATAGCAACGTTGTAGACTCAAGCAGCAAACGCAACAGCATTGTTTTGAAAAAATATATAATTGAATATGAAGTTGGTGCAATGTAAAGCATGATGACTTTTCTGTTTTAATAGGTTCCAGTATGTATCTTGATGCTTAGGACATCTTTATCCTTAAACTGTATTAAATATTGCCACTTACTTCCAGGGGATGAAGCTACTGTTTGAAAATGGGCGTGCCTACATCTAAATTGCTTCATACTATTTGAAACATATGATATAGTTGACATACTAACTGTTTTCATCATGTACAGCGTGTCAGGACGGTTACTATGGAGACTGCACTTCAAAGTGTGGAAACTGCTTCAACGCTGCCTTTTGTGACAAGTCTACAGGCATCTGTCCTTTAGGTTGTGCAGCAGGGTGGCACACTGACACTTGTCTTCAACGCGAGTACATGTTCTGTGCTCAAGTCGCAATTGTGCGGCTCTGTGCACAGTCCGAAAGTATTTATTTTATGTTTATTTATTTATGTATTCCTCTTCATTTATTTAATTGGCTAATACATATAACTGATTATGCGTACTGCATTCGCTGAAATGCTGAAATATGGGAATGTCATAAACGAAAGACTCAGTTTCTCCATAACTATCGCTCCTATGATGGTTTAAAATGCGAATCCCCCTCTCTGTGATTCTTGCATTGGTCTTGCAACGAATAACAAGAGCATTTTATCACTCACAGTATTCACAGTAAGCATATGTGTATTAATCACTATCAAGCAAATGGTAATATCAATATCGATAGAAACATAATGAATACATGCAAAAATAGTTCAAACAAATATGGGAACATACGAGTTAAAACATAAATTGCGTCTCACATTATTTTGGTCACTGAGAGTCATATCATCCTCGTGTCTATTTTTAATTCCTTTGAAAGCTTTATTGAGACATTTACTGCTCTAACCTTCTTGAACTACTTTGGAGAACGCTGTCTATTATCCTCTCACTGAAATCGTCGAGTATGCTTCATTTGAACCTCAAGTCTGAAACAAAAACACTAAACGCTAGAGATGCTGTGAATCTGACACATAGTTCACTGTTGGAAAGTCACCCCTTTTCTCCTTCAGTCTTGAGAAAAGTTTTCAAACCTATTACAGGCACTGCCCAAAAGTTCATACTGATTTAATACAGCTTTAGTTTGTCTACCGACGTGGACTGCAACTTGCGGTTAGTAATACACATAAAGGGATGTTTAATGTATGTCTGAACCTTAATGATGGTACAGAGACGAACGCTTGCAGCAAAATAATATTGTCCTTGTTTGACATCCGAATGAGTGAGTTAATATTATTTTATCGTCACAACGGCAATATTTCGGCCATATCGTGACGAGAACCAATTTGACATTGATAATAAATTTTAAAACTAGCAATAATTATTAAACTAATACCACTATACGGATAATAAACACTATAAAATCAGCCTATAGATCGCCGGCAACTGAAGTTAGATTCTAGTGGGGCAACTGTGTGGATGGTGATGTTTGCATCAAGACAAATGGAACATGTCCAGGACGATTTTCATCAGAGTGGTTCAGAGGTGTAATCAGCGTAAGTCAACTGCAGTTATCTAATGCAGTAACAAGATGACGATAGCTTGTGTGAGTATTCAACTGGGATGAGTGAGTTTAGTTTTATGTCGCACTCGGCAATATTCCAGCCTATTCAGCAGGAGCATTAGCAAACATATTCCAAATTTCGTCTGTGGTGACGTCAGGGAGAAAACGTGAACAAAAGTGGTGATATATTGGCCTTTTTCAGATGATAAAAAATGTGTCGCAGCTATTGGGGACTCATATGGAATATGCCTAAACTGAATTAGAAATGTTGTTTTCAAATGTTCCTAAGGTATGCATAGTATGTAGAGAAAGTTAGATGTCTAAATGCTTCTCCGGGTAGAAAAAAATTAAAATAGGCATAAATAGTCGGTACAAGCAGGGTGGAAAGAATTTGAGAGCTCTAAAGTTTGGATGCCTCTCGTTAAGATTTGACTTTATAGTTTATCTCCAAAGGAACGTCCTGGCAATCATCAAAACAATCTACATATACATGGAGTGAGTGAGTGAGTTAAAATTTAACGTCACATCGGCAATATTTCAGCCATATAGTGACGAGAAATGTTTTATATAAATAATAAATTAAAGTTGCTAAAGAATCAGTCATCGAAGGACTATAAAATAACTAGAGTATCACAGATGGAGTCTAAAACTAGCATGAACACGTAAAACTATTTTATTTACGAAGACAATACAATATAAAAACGGGCTATAGATCGCCAACAACTGAAGGTAGATCACCATACTAGGAACCGTGGGGACTTACATTACTTTTGCTACCTGCATGGACCCTAGTTGGAATTTACACCATCCCTTCAGCCATTGGCGACAGAAGAGAAATCTAGCCATAAATTAAAAACACACTTATTCTACGATTAAAAAGCAGGTACACTTAGATTGACTAAATGTTTTGGGACTGACGTACCCTCTCAGGAGGACAATAATTTTACAATACTTCAACCCCCTTTGAGGATACAGCCACTAAGAATATCAGTTGCTAATCTAAACTACCAATAATAAAATATATATCTATTTACAAATCACTCAACAAATCTAATTTTTTTTAAAATGCAATAATTAAATGAGAATTGACATTATTAAAAAGATCCTTCAGAGTTTTGGATTTGAAATAGATATCCCTTGTGATGGAATATTCAATGCAGTCAAGCAAGACATGCTTGACTGTGATCCTTTCATCACAGGGATACAAAACGGAGGATCTTCGCCTTTCAATAGATATTCATGAGTATATCTGGTATGGCCAATGCGACATCGTCGCATAATGACCTCTTCAAATCTGGACTGACAACCCAAGTAGGTGTAACCAATGTAGGGTTTTATTGCATGTAATTTATTAATACCTACTTGGGTCTCCCACTTCTTTTGCATTAGATCGCGGATGTATGTTCTAATGCTGGCTTTATAATCAGAGTATGGGATAAGAAGTGGTGTCACAGATTTGTTGAGGGCTGCCTTAGCAGCAATATCAGCCATCGTGTTCCCAGAAATGCCAACGTGGCTGGGTAACCAACAAAAGACGATGTCGCATTGGCCAGTAGCAAGTTCATTGTACAATTCAATAATTTCTAATTAAAGTGGATGTTTACAAGAAAGATTTTTAATAGCCTGAAGACACGAAAGAGAATCTGAAAAGATGATATATTGTTTATATTTACGGTGTTTATTAATATATTTAAGAGCTGTTAAGATGGCGTTTGCTTCTGCTGTAAATATAGAGCTGTTATCCGGTATTCTAGAAGATATTGTTCGGGATCCAATGACAGTGGCACATGCCACTGCGCCACCATCCTTGGACCCATCTGTAAATAAGGATTTGTATGTAGTATATTTATTTCTTAATTGACTAAATTCTTGTTTATACTGTAATTCATTTGTTTCTGATTTTTTAAATGTAGTTAATGTTAGGTCAACTTGTGGCCTAACCAATTGCCAAGGCGGAGAAGAAAGAAAACGGGAAGGAGCTATATGTTCTAGCTCAATGCCGGCAGCAGAAAGGAAAGGTATCACTCTTATACCAAGAGGCGGAACAAGAGAAGGCTTCTTGTTATACAGATCTTCATATAGGGGATTAAAGACACAGGTATATGCAGGGTTTGACTCATTGGAATAAAGTTTTGTAATATACTGTAAAGTTAATTTTATACGGCGTTGTGTAAGAGATGGCTCATCAGCCTCGACGTAGAGACTGTCAACAGGAGAAGTTCGAAAGGACCCAAGACAAAGTCTCAGACCTTGGTGGTGGATAGAATCTAATAGTTTTAAGTTGCTTTTACAGGCTCCACCATATACGATGGAGCCATAATCAAGCTTCGAGCGGACAAGTGATCTATACAGGTGTAGGAGGGTAGTTTGGCCCCCTCCCCACTTTGAATTAGAAACGACTTTCAATAAATCGAGTGCCTTCAGGCATTTAGTTTTTAGGGATTTGATATGCGGAAGGAAAGTCAAATGGGAGTCGAAAATTAGACCCAAGAACTTGGCCTCCTTGACAACTTTAATGGGAATACCATTTAAAAATAGTTCCGGGTCCTTATGAGGCTTATATTTCCTACAAAAGTGTATACAATTAGTTTTTGACTTAGAAAATTTAAAGCCATTTTCAAGACACCATTTATTTATTTTATTTAAACACAACTGCAGTTGTCGTTCAATAGTGTGCATATTTTTACCGCGACAAGAGATATTAAAATCATCCACAAATAATGATCCATCAATTGAATCATTTAAAACTTTTGATAAACTATTTATCTTTATACTAAACAATGTGACAGACAAAATACTGCCTTGCGGCACACCCTGATCCTGATTATAATGGTCAGACAGGGTTGAACCCACTCGGACTTGAAATTGCCTGTCTTTTAAAAAACTGTGATATAAAAAGAGGCAAACGACCTCTCAAACCAAAATCATGTAAATCCTTCAAAATGCCATGCTTCCAGGTTGTATCATAAGCTTTCTCAAGATCAAAGAAAATTGATACAGCATGTTGTTTATTTACTATAGCATTTTTAACAAAGGATTCTAGTCGTACCAGCTGATCAATGGTACTACGGTTTTTTCCTGAAACCACATTGAATATTTGTGATAAGGTTATTGGTTTCAAGATACCATGTCAGTCTATTATTTACCATTCGTTCCATGGTTGTACAGACACAACTCGTTAAAGAGATTGGTCTGTAATTTGATGGATCAGTATGATCCCGGCCGGGTTTTGGAATGGGGACGACAATGGCATTACGCCATGAAGTTGGGAAATTCCCTGAAGTCCATATTGAATCAAAAATATTTAGCAATGTTTCCAAACATGGTTCGGGCAAATGCTTCAGGAGCTGATAGTGGATATCGTCAGCCCCTGTTGCTGTATCATGAGCTTGCTCAAGGGCGGTATGTAGCTCATGTAGTGAAAATAATTCATTGTAATCTTCACCATTGTCTGAGTTAAAATGTAACCTTTTCTTCTCCTGTTGTTTCTGAAAGTTTTGAAACTCAGGGACATAATTGGATGAAGATGAGTGCTTGGCGAGAGTTTCACCAAGTTTATTGGCAATGTCAGTTTTATCAGTTAATAAATGATCACCATCCTTCAGATGGTGAACAGTAGATTTAGAACCTTTGCCCTTTATTTTCTGAATCATTTTCCACACCTTTGACATAGGTGTGCGTGAATTTATTTTAGAAACATAAGTTCGCCAAGACTGACGCTTATTTTGTTTAAAAGCACGTCTAGCCTTAGCATTTGAAATTTTAACTTTGTCTAGATTATGGACAGTAGGATGTCGGCAAAAATACTTTTCAGCTTTCTTCCTACACTTTCTGGCCTGTTTACAGTCATTATTGAACCATGGCTTACGAAGGTGTGGAATTGCAGAGGACTTTGGTACAGTTTGGTCAGCAATGTTGTTCAGTATATCTGAAAATAACTGTATAGGATCTTCGCTGTTCGCAAAAATGTCATGTTTTAAGTGATCAGTACATAGTGTCTGATGCAATGACCAGTTAGCCCTGGCAAAATTCCGTCGTGATAAAGGTGGATCATCACCAGGGTTGACCGCTTTGAGAATGGTGGGGAAGTGATCACTCCCACAAAGGTCATCATGTACCCCCCATTCAAATTCATTATATACGTTGGAATCGGCGAGTGATAGATCCAGGGAAGAATATGTTCCCGTAGCTGGATGTAAATAAGTGGCTGAGTCATCATTAAAAATACACAGATTATTATCAGAAATGAATTCCTCAAGGATTTTACCTTTTGTATTAGTATGGTCACTTCCCCAAAGTGGGTTGTGACCGTTCAGATCGCCCATGATGAGGCATGGCTTCGGAAGCTGGTCATATAGGTTTTTAAGATCCGACTGTCTAATATCAGTAGAGGGAGGAATGTATAAACTGCACAGAGTCAATGCAATATGCAGGGTGATGCGAACAGCAACAGTTTGAAGATTTGTACTAAGATGAACAGGGCTGTGTATTATCCCTTGCCGTACCAAAATGGAAGCACCTCCAGTTGCTTTGTCTCTTGGAGGAGAGAAAGAGTGATAATCACTGTACCGTCTCAGAATAAAGTTATCTGTATGTTTTAGATATGTCTCTTGGAGACATATAGCTGACGGTTGAAAATCCTGTGTTAGTAATTGAATCTCGTTGAAATTATGTTTGAGTCCTCTGCAATGCCATTGAAGTATAGTGGACAATTGAGTCATGGTGCCTCAATTGGTGATCGTCCGCGTGAATGTGAGGAATAGGAGCTCCTCCGTGTGTCCTGAGTGGACGGTGACACCTCCATATCTAGAGGTTCAAAGGGGTTCTCAAAAGGAACCTCTGAAGGTATTGGGACAGTTGGTAATTGTTGTTTCCTGTTGAATTTTTTCCTTTCTTTTTGGGCAAATGACCAGTGTTTGACTGTTGAGCTGACACTTGTGATGTCTCTGGCTGAGTCTTAGTCTGAGAGTCTGATAAAGACTGAGAGACAGATGAAGTCTGAGATCCAGATGAGGCCTGAGAGGCAGATGGAGATTGAGTGGCTCGGGATGTCGAGGGTAAGGGTGAAGAAGAATTCATGGGCTTCTCTGACTTGACCCAAGTCAGATCTGTTTGACAGGTAACAAAGGATGTCATTACAGACCGAGTTACTGCAGCAGAGTATGACGGATGTAATGGAGTCGGATTCTCATTTTTAAAGAGTTTTTTAGCGTCAAGGTATGGGATGTTCTTTTCGCACTTCAGCTTCATTATTTTTGATTCCGTTTGCCAAACGGGACAGGATTTGGATGAAGAGTCATGTGGACCAGAACAGTTTGCACATTTAAACTCTTTGTCACAGTCTGCGTGTTCATGATTGTCACCACAGCGATGACACACCACAGAGCCACGACAAGAGTTGGATCCATGACCAAATTTCTGGCATTTATAACACCGGAGTGGACTGGGGACATACACATCCACTCCGATATTAAAGTATCCTGCCTTAATTGACTGTGGTAAAGATGCACGGGCAATCGTCAAGAGATAGGTATTAGTTTTCACAAGGGTACCCTCTCTCTTGACGGTGAAACGTTTTACAGCGGTTACACCTTGATCTACAAGCTCTACAGCAATATCATCCTCTGACATGTCGAACAGACAGCGAGCTCTGTCGCGAATGATTCCTCGACATGAATTTAATGTTCTGTGCACAGACACAACAACCTCAATATTGGCAAAAGTTTTGATGGACAAAAGATTGAGAGACTGCTGTCTCCGTGCACATTCCACCAGAAGTGAACCACTACGGAGACGAGTGACGTTCTTAACATCTCCACAAATTCCAGAAACAGCCTTAGATATCGCAAAAGGATTTAGTTTTATAGGCAGAAAATCAGTTGCCTCAATCACAAGGAAACGAGCCCATGAGTCCGAATTCGAAGAAATAGTTTTTGAAGGGTCATCAACATGTTCGAAACGTCGCTTTTTTTCGTTTCGCAATGAACCAGATGGAGTGGGATCCATGATAAGTGTAAATAGATTCAGCACCCCTGCTCCCCACCCACCACGGAGTGTCAACAAGGACAGTGTCAAATAGCACCGGATCTCCTAGATGCTGACACCAGGGATACAGGGGCGTTATACTCCAGAGACAAAGACTTGAAAAGCTATGGAAAACTAAAAGAATAAATGCCAGGCTGGTTCGGCCCATGACACCATTCCCAAGAATCACAGATTCCAGAGGTCTATTATCACCAGATTGGCCCATGAGCCACCGCCTTCTGGCATAGGACTCTAGGCAATTTAAAGTAATAACATTTCAAACACAGTAGATCCAAAAAATCCAAGACCCAATGATAATATAATGTGCAATATAGTCACCACACACAGGGCTTGGCGTGACCAGCCGATTGATGGAACCGGGCCAGTTCCACCACCCGTCTAGGTGAAGTAAGGGCCGAAGTGGTGTGTTGGGCAAAAGGAACACGGTTCCAGGCTCCCAGTGCCCTCAACCACCAGACTCCCGTCCTCCACCGACACAGGGGCGCAACCCACGGCAAACGGGTTGGTGGACCAAATATCCCCCCGGGTCCACAACGGGGTTGAAGGGCGCTTAGCGTTACCCAGCACCCACCACGAGGAGGTGGCCCTTCACGGGTGCCACATATACATGGAACCTGAGCACACATGTCTATCGTAATGGACAATATGTCCTTGTCATTTGATATTGTAATGCCCCATGCCCACTCAACTGACACATTTTAACTGCATCACTAAGGCTCATGTTTATGTTACTGTCTACAGCATGCCCAGATGGACGTTATGGTGCCAAGTGTGCGTCTCCGTGTGGTCACTGTCTGGACACTGATGCCTGTGACAAGGGGACAGGGAAATGTCCTAGAGGATGTCAGCCAGGATGGTGGCCAGATCTCTGTTCACAAGGTTGGTTCTTAATCTGTACGTATTCTTATATAACTGACACGCGTTGTCTTTTGTTGATAATTAATCATATATTTACAGCTTGCAGTGATGATCGTCATGGACACCACTGTCAGTCTGAGTGTGGCCAATGTAAAGGAAACCTGCCTTGTAACAAGATCAATGGAACATGTCATCAAGGATGTCTGCCAGGCTTTCAAGAACCATTTTGTAAAGGTGGGATACACATTCAGTGTTATGAGAGTTATGATTTACTGCTCATTCCATGAGAAACACTCCCCTGGTCGCTTTGACAAGACAACCTGATTATATCACTGCATGATGGTTAGATGAAAAATATATCTCGTCTCCTCCCCAGAGTGCGTTGACGGAATGTACGGTGATGACTGCATGTCACGATGTGGTCAGTGTAAAGACGGCCTAACGTGTGATAAGTCCAGTGGCGAATGTCCTGGAGGATGTCAGGGTAACTTCATGAAGCCACTGTGTCAAGGTAGGACACTATAAGCAGGAAAAAAAGTTTTCTGTCGACTTTGTGCAAAGTTTGCACAGTCATCCAGACAACTGACAGCAAGATAAACGCTGCAGAAAGTCTTTGTTTCCTCTTCTTATACTCATTTATAGTAACTTGGTAAGACATCAAGGCAGCTGATATGAACCACTTACTTATGTTCTGAAACTAGGTTGTGCAGCAGGATGCTCAAACCAGGTAGTGCCAGTTGCAGCAACACTTGGGACACTTCTTGTGTTGTCTCTCGTCGCTCTGCTGACAGCCATCGTTTACATCAGAAGGTAAGGTGAAGAATGTATTATGTAGTTATCATGATTAACTACAGGGATTGACTTACATTTTGTGCCGAATTAACAAATCGGATATATATCAGATGTATTTTAGAGAATGAAAAATCGTTCTGTGATGTCTATAAAACAGTCATAGAGATGAAACATTTCTGTATATTCAGACTGAAGATTCAACTGGATGCCTCAAAAATGAAACCCGAAGATAACTACATATCCCTAGACGAGAGGACAAGGGATCCAGTTGTGGAGAACACATATGAACACATTGACAATACCAATCCTTATGTTAATGCAGTGGAAGTCCGTCAGGGCCGCATTTGAACTGAATAGTTGCATAAAGCGTCCTGTCTATATAGAGTAGTCTTTTATTACGTTAATAGTTCTGAGTGTGGACAAACGTTACGGTAATTTCTCAAGTGAGGTCACTTATTACTTAACAACTGAACAACATCAAGACATGTTCTGACGTCAATAACAGCATAATAGCATGATTCATGTTTTGTAAAAACGGCAAATTAGCCAATCATTTGAGTCCTTCCTTTAGCAGTTATTCCTTCGCTGATCATGACGACTTTGAAGAACCCAAGGTCACCTCAATGCATTTTGCATGGAATTGGTGAAGATCCCTCTTCCATGTCTTGTTGTCTACCGCTAGTGTATTCCCCATCTCTGGCGACACCAACTTTGAGTTGTGCCATCAAGATAATCGGTCGGCCTGTTCGAGAGCCATTTCGAAATAGGAGCACCAAGGGTAGATAACACTATATGGATGGGAAACTTCTTTATTACAGTGAGAGCGACGTGTCGGACACTGACTGACTGACTGAGTTTGGTTTTACGCCGCTTTTAGCAATATTCCAGCAACATCACGGCGGGGACACCAGAAATGGGCTTAACACATTGTGCCCATGTGGGGATTCGAACCCGGGTCTTCGGCGTGACGAGCCAACGCTTTAACCATTAGGCTACCCCACCGCCCCGTCGGACACTGAACTGACATACAACCTTACTGTGTGAGGCACCGAATTCAAATATTCATAGGACTCGCAATCTGTCATTTTCCTTTATGTGTAACCTGGTCACATTTAACCAAACATACCAAATATGGGGTTGTCAGCACACGTTCGAATACAGGATATAATAGATTTCGTAGATATTATCTGACATATTTCTTCTTGAATAACTAGCTGCTGTTTAAGCATTTGCTTGAAGCCAGTAGATGTAAGTTTGATCTCGGCATGTGAGGCTAAGTCTTGGTGTTACGACATGAGGGTTGAAAATTGTTAATGTTACGTTTAGTATGTTCACTGAAATACAACATATAGCTATACATTATAGTGTGTGACCTTTTGTAGACAATAAAAATTCTCACCCGAATAATCTGGCGGTTGAAGCGACTGGTTGTCACCCTGAAGATGTCTGATTTCCAGCATGGTGTAAAGTCAATTCGTAGTGTTCCCTCAATATGAAATTTTGTTTGATAATTGCATAAAGCATGTTACCTTAACAGTGTTCCAGCACCTAAATATCCCTAAATCGTTTTAAAATTATATATACGAGAACAATAATATCCAGTACGACGCTCCAACAGTTCCATATATACCCAACGTTTAGACATGCATGTACATGTTTGTATATGTTCATTATACTTACCTCCGGGAGGCGCTATGTTGGAACAAAACAGTAGCAAGGTCACATGCATTGCGTAATAATAAATCACGATAAGTAATCTGTCACCTGTTGTATTACTTTTTTCCTGTTCCTTGGTATTGTTTCATATAAATCATATACATGTATTTCTAAGTGCACGTGTTATATTTTGTAATATATATGCATCCATGGGCTTACCACGCTGTTGTTTACCATGACTCTTCATGCTGGTCACTGACCATGACCACGGAGATGCGTAGTATAGATGTTGAATTCCTGTACTCATATAATCTATCATTATCATTGTATCACTATTGTCATTCTCATGAATTTACTATCTGAAATAAATTTAATTTGATAGCGGTTATGTATTGTGTATGTTTCAGTTTCAGTCATGTTTTATCTACAGCTAGTAGGTCATCTGCGGTGTTAGGGATGGTGGTAGTCGCCACGTAAAGTGTCGATACCATCTTTAACATAGCCGTACATGTTGCTGAAAGGTGTACGTATTCTGTAATGTTTTGATCTGAACAGCAATTACAAGCTACATATATTAGATTTCCTCATGCATGGGACACGTGAAGATCCGGGGTAGAATAGGTCTTCAGGAACCCATGCTTGCCATAAAAGGCCACTATGCTTGTCGTAAGAGGCGACTAACGGGATCGGGTGGTCAGGCTTGCTGACTTGGTTGACACATGTCATCGGTTCCCAATTTCGCAGATCGATGCTCATGCTGTTGATCACTGGATTGTCTGGTCGAGACTCGATTAATTACAGACCGCCGCCATATAGCTGGATTATCACTGAGTGCGGCGTAAAACTAAACTCACTCACTCACTCCTCATGCATGGAGCGGTGGGCTGGTGGTTATAACCTCTGCTCGTCAACGCTGAAGACCCGGGTTCGATTTCCACACAGGAAACATGAAACCTATTTGTTATGAACGCCGCAGTAATATTGCTGGAATATTGCTAAATCCATATTCACTCACTATCTCTGGCATGCGAAACAGTTACCGTTGAAAATTGGTAAACATATAGAAGCGGTGGGTAAGCCTAATAGTTAAAGCGGCCGCTCGTCAAGCTGAAGACCCGGGTTTGATTCCTCACAAGGGTAAATTATATGAAGCTGATTTCTGGAGTCCCCCACCGTGATATTGCTGGAATATTGCTAAAAGCGGCGTAAAAACCGCAATCACTGAATCTGTATCTACCAGAATACAAACGTGCACAGCAATAATGATCAGAATTAAATTACACTTTGTCATTTACGCATAAACTAATTTGTTTGTAAGTCTACAACAAATAAAACAACAATCTCCCCCCCACAGCTGTCAAAGTATATGTCTCTATTCTATTACCTGAGACCTCAATTACTCGAACTCGTTCATTTTTTTCTCAAAGCCATCCTCATGATTATACCGTCTCGGTGTAAATAAATGTCACAATACTACAGCGAAGGTAGCTGGATGGGATTCTCTCCCGGCAAGCCGAGATGAATACATTCAAGCGGAAGATCTGTACATTGCTTTCACCACATTGACGTGGAACATACCGATTCAAATACGTGACAGTAGTTATGCGATCCCGGCAATAAATCAGGTGTTTGCTATCAAGCCATGTTATCTGATGTAAATATTAATGCATACAGGATTCCTCTGTCGACTACATCACTGTCATTCATTGTACCTCGCTTTTAACTCATTGATGTGGAACTTACGAATACAAACACGGTGCAGTAGCAAAGCGAACGTCACACATTATGAATCAGTAAATAACAATATGGATTTTCCACACCAAAGCGTGCTCAAAGGGCTGACACACTATCTGATTATTTATTATTACCCCGGATAACCCAAGCTGCTTATGAGGCGCTAGAAGGTTAATAGTCACCTCCGGGTACCCATTTTTTATGCTTATTGAAGACCACATTTATCACATGTACTTCGTTGTGGGGCAGGACTGAAGTCCTAGAAAATCCAAACACGGTCACCCGCCAAGTACTCTCCGCGCACAACGCTGCTTAACTTCAACTGATTTGGGACCTGTGCTCTACGCACAGGACCACATGCCCTACCTCTACCACCAGTTGTTTGCTATCGAGTCCTGTTATCTAATGTAAAGAAACTGGATGCAGAATTTAAGCGATATAAGCGAATTAGTCACCATATTTGGATTAAGTCTGTCCATGTGATGTAAAGAAGTGGACTGGTTTGCCACCCTGATGAAAATGATGATCTGTGGTCAGCACCATACATATGCACGGGCCTCGTCTTAAGTACCAACATCAATGAAGGATTGGAAATTTTCGTTTATTGGCAGGTAGATGCGGCTGCTGAGAGTGAGTGAGAAGTGAAGTGTGCGTGCGTGCGTGTGTGCGTGCGTGCACATTAGTATGTAAAATATAAGTTTGAGGAGGCACATATATGACAAATCGTATACTGTGTGAGTCACTAGACAATCTCATAGTCATAAGAATATCGCTGCATGTGTATTGGGGCATAACCATGATCTCAAGTTCAAAATAGCTATGTTGTGTTCAAACGAGCAGACACACCTAGTTCATTTGTACGTCATAGATAACCATAAAGCATGTAAAGGTAATCTGCAAACCAGGATGTAATATCAACTTGAACGAAATGTCAAAAGATTCCTATGCTACCTGGTGCCGAAGACCTGTGGTCTCCTCCCTACAACTTTCTTCCTGGTTGTGTGTCGCTGTATTTTTTCTACGTAGACACGGGTGAGTATCCATGAGGTTTTATATTACATTTGCAATTTATTCGTGATGCCAGTAGTATCCGTTTCATTGTAATTAAGAAATACAGTTCGCTCTACCACCATGTATAGTGTAATAAAACACACTTTCGCCTTGAACTATTGTAGTTAAAGTACGAGGACGCTTGCGTCCGAGTGCTTTAACGTTATAAAAGTTCAGGGCGTATGTGTGCTTTATTACACTATATATGGTGGTAGAGCGAACTGTATTTCTTTTCTAAGATGACAAATTTGATACTTTCTAAGGATCATTACGATTAATTTAAGGCAGAAAACAAACGACGGTGTCGGTGATCTAAATTAAGAATCCTCGCACAGGGCTAACTGGCGCGCTGTTCTATTGATGTGTCTGCCCCCTACGTTAAGACGAACGTTACCAGAAAAACCCCAAATGATAACAGTTTGATGACAGTTTACGTTCGGATTAAATATCTTCTCTGAATTATTTTAATTACATCTGTCATTAACGTAAACCATATGGGGCAATATGAACGTCGCATTTCTACTACCAACGTAAGTTTAGATCAGTACATCCAGATGAAGCTGAGTTGTCAAGCAACATTCCACGATTGCATTGTGGGAATGTAAACATTGCGAACGTTACAGTGTCGCTGAAAACTTGTGAGTCGAAATGACACTTTTTAACCGTCGTAAAACATAAACGTAATGTTGTCACCAGTGATGTTAGCTGCGTGAAGCAACTGCAAACCAAGAAACGGGATGTAGGAGGCCGTACGAGGCGATGACAACTGACATGCATCATGAGTCGCTTACATTGTGACGTAATGTAAAATGGTTCGATTACGAGGGGGCACACTAGAATGGCGCAGTGACGGGATAACGTCATTCAATTGTTACGTCATCAAAAAACTATACCTTTATTGTCTGATAATGTATTTTTTTTTCGTTTGTCCTAGGCAACTTAGAGTGAGTGAGTTAATATTTATCGTCACATCGGCAATATTTCAGCCATATCGTGACGAGAACATTTTATATTTATATTAAAGATGAATAAAGTTAGAAATTAAAAAACCTGCTGACGAAGAACAGTGAGTGAGTGAGTTAAGATTTAAAGTCACATCGGCAATATTTCAGCCATAACGTGACTAAAACTAGTTCTAAATTCATAATACATACATATAAATATATAAAACCCTGTCAGCAAAGGACAGTAAAACCACCAGATTATCACAGATTGAGTTAAAACTAGCTAGCATATATCTTTAAAAGTACAAGTGAGTGAGTGAGTGAGTTATTATTTAACGTCACATCGGCAATATTTCAGCCATATCGTGACGAGAACACTTGACATTGAAATAGAATATAAATAGATAGTACAAAAACCTGCCGACAAAGGACAATTAAAAGTACAAACTATTTTTGGACAATACAATGTGAAAATGGGCTATAGATCGACAACAACTGAAGGTAGATCACCATACTAAGAACCATGGGGACTTACATTACTTTTGTTACCTGCATGGATCCTAGCTGGATTTACACCATCCCTTCAGCCGCTGGCGATTGTAGGAAAATTTAGCCAACAGTTAAAATAACAAAAATACTACGTTTAAAATGTGATAATTTATATTTTACTTTGAAAGTTTTGGGGCTTACGTACCCTCTCAGGAGGACAATATTTTTACGCTACTTCAACCCCCTTTGAGGGTACAGCCACTAACAATCTCAGTTTCTAATCTAAACTACCAATAATAAAATATTTAGCTATGTACAGATAAGTCAACAAATCTAATTCTTTTAAAAAGTCAACTATTAAATGATAACTAACATTATAAAAAAGATCCTTAAATGTTTTGACATTGAAATACTGATCCCTTGTGATGGAATATTCAACACAGTCAAGCAGAACATACGTGACCGTGATTCTTTCATCACAAGGGATACAAAACGGAGGATCCTCACCTTTTAATAGGCACTCATGAGTATATCGTGTGTGGCCAATACGACATCGTCGTATGATGACCTCTTCAAATCTGGACAGACAACCCAAGTAGGTGTAACCGATAGTTGGTTTTATTGCATGTAATTTATTGATTCCTACTTGGGTATCCCACTTCTTCTGCATCAGATCACGGAAATAAGATCTAATAGCAGCTTTGTAATTAGAGTACGGGATCAGAAGTGGTGTCACAGGTTTGTTGAGTGCTGCCTTGGCAGCAAGATCGACCATTGTGTTCCCAGAAATGCCAACGTGGCTGGGTAACCAACAAAAGACAATGTCGCATTGGCCAGTAGCAAGGTCATTATACAATTCAATAATTTCTAATAAAAGTGGATGTTTACAAGAAAGATTTTTAATAGCCTGACGACACGAAAGAGAATCGGAAAAGATTATGAATTGTTTATATTCACTGTGTTTATTAATATATTTAAGAGCTGTTAATATGGCATTAGCTTCTGCTGTGAAAATAGAGCTGTTATTTGGTAATCGAGAAGGGATTGTTCTGGATCCAATGACAGTAGCACAAGCAACCGCACCACCATCCTCAGATCCATCTGTAAATAAGGATTTGTATGTAGTATATTTAGTTTTTAATTGATTAAATTCTTGTTTATATTGTAATTC